TGGGCAACCAAAAAAAAAAAGAATCAATAGATAAATGTATTGGAGTAAAAGTGCTGTTTCTTCTGAAAATATGTAGAACACCTCATGGCGAAAGATTTGCGAAAGACGAGGTTGCTGCATCCACACATATCTATCCATTTATTTATCTATCAACACACAGACGCATAGGGTCCCGCTTAGCCAATCGGATGCCAGGAAGATGCCAGGTCATAGCCAATGGCAGAGCAGCTATATGTATGTTGCGTTCAGGAAACTCGGAGCTGCGAGCAGCAGACTAAACTGTATTTTTACCTTTCGAAACTTTCTTTCGTAGCAGGAGGCAATATTTTCATGTTGCGGCGTTTCGTAACTTGAACATTTCGTGTGAGTATGAGTACCACTGTACATTTGATTCATCAATTTGTATTATTGTGGTTTTTGGAGTCCAAACCCAAAACGTAGTCCATATTTACAGTATACTGTCGAGCGCATCTAAACCACACAACCCTCCTCACAGCAGGCAGGTGAATTAGGAGATCTGAGCTTAAAAAAAAAAAAAAAAAACGTTTGGCAAAAGTCTGCTGACTGATATATTGAGTGAAAACATTTTTAAGAAACACATCTCGGGTCGGTGAAAAGGGGAAAAATTCGATTTTATGCTCCAATAATGATCACCTGAAACCTGACAACATGATAAACTAGTAACTGCCGTCCCTAAAAGGGTTTAAGAACATTCAAAGCTAAGCACAGAAACAAGCATATGACAGTTACAACAAGTCACAAGACATAACATGTAATGAGGGGATGGGTGAGAAACGGGGTGTGGGGGCGCCACGCGGCCTGTCCGACCAGCTGCTCAGCCAATTGGCGAGCGCTCCGCAGATCAGGTTCACGTCACGGGGGAAAAACAGGAGGAACGATGAAGACGGTGATGATAAGGATGTGTATGCGTGTGTGATTGTCTGGTTGTGTATGCGTGAACAGGCCGCAGCTGCTTCGTCAAGGTCTGCTCATGAAGACAGTCCTGGCTTATCAGTCCATGGCCGAGAAGGAGGGGGTGATGGTGGGGGCACTAGCTTGTGTGTCGTGAAGCATGTTTTTATCATTTGGTGTTAGTATGGCTTTATATGTTTGTTTTTAAAATGTGCATGAAGCATTGAAGAGTTACTTCACAAACAAATTGTACGTTTGACTGTAAAGACTACATATCAACTGCTTCACTCATTTGTTACTTTCACAAATTGAACATTATTCTGGGCTTTCACAACATAGAATATAATTTGACATGCTATATCGAATTCCCAAGTACTTACCAGAGACGAAGTGAGCACTGCAAAGAGAGCATTCTTAATTGCCTCGTCAGTCCAATTCTCACGTTGTAAAGCTTGTAGCCACAACTTTCACTATTTTTTCTTGAAGGGGTGTTGACTAGCAGGAATTCTATAAAAGACGAGCTCTCTGTGTGTCCTCTTTCTATTCTGACAACCCACAGAACAGCATGAGGACGGCATGATTTTGTTATGTAAAGCGTGTTTTCTGCCTCCGCAATTTTTATTTTATTATTAATGTATGCACACATCAGATGAAACTGGTCTATATGGCGTATTTATTATTTCTGATTGGTTCATTTCTTAGTAGTTCACTGTTATTTTATTTTATTCCACATTTGTTGTACAATATGGTAACACTTTTTGAAATTCATGAAAAAAAATCTATGTGAATAAAATGTTTAATTACTCTCTAATTATCTTTATTATCAGTACCAGTGTTTTAAAACTGGCAATGCAAAAGCAACGACAAAATGTTTGCCGGTCCGCGAACAGCATATTCTTGTCTCAATTGGTCCGTGACACCAAAAACGTTGGGGACCACTGCCCTACATAATCCGAAGCAGCCACCACCTCTCTCACTCGCTTGATTTTGCTGTCACCTAGGGTAATGAAATGGTGTTTGACATCCAATCAACTGTACTGATAAACCCTCAGGAAGCAATATGGGTCATGAACTATTGATTTTGAGGAGTTGAGGAGACTGTAGTGCAGGGGGGGCTCGCGAGCCGCATGCGGCTCTTTGGCTGGTTCAGTGCGGCTCCCGGGCTTTCACATGAACAGCGTCAAAAACGCCTCGGCAGTGGCGCTACCATTCAAACAATGACGCTAAGTACAGCTGAACTTACGAGGCCAGCCTATCTTCAAGCCCGTTACTTGATTGACATACAGGGCAACCAGTCCGATGACAAATTTTGACCTTTACGTCACTGCTCATGTGCAAACAATGGCGCTAAGCACTAAGCTAGTCAGCAAATTACCTCTGATTTGAAGGCAGGGGTGCCCAAAACGTCGATCACGATCGACCGGGAGCCAGCGGACTGGTCCCAAGTCGACCGTGAGAGGTGGGAGGAGGAAATGGGGGCGGGGGGGATTTGTGTGTCTGTGTGTTTCGGTTTCATTTCGGGGCCATTCGGGGCTGTTGCTCATCGTGTCGTGTGTGCGTGCATGTGCGTGAGTGCATGTGCGTGAGTGTGTATATGTGGAATGTTGCGCGATCGGGTCGATTGCGGTAGGTTGGTCGCTTAAAAGTCGATCTTTGGTCAAAAAAGTTTGGTCACCGCTGATTTAGAGTGTTCCATTAACCTGCCTTGCATGTTTTGTGGAATGTGGGAGGAAACCGGAGTACCCAGAGAAAAGTCACGCAGGCACATGGAGAACATGTAAAGTCCACACAGGAAGGCCAGAGCCAGAATTGAACCCTGCACCCCTGCACTGTGAGGCAGACGTGCTAACCAGTAAACTACCGTGCCACTTTACAGTCTTGAGTTCACCTAAAATATATATTTTACCAGAGGAAGCCAAGTAATCCCATTATGTGCAGTTTCTGCAGATAGAAGTTGGGAACATGGCCCCTTACCAGTCAATCAAAGTCAACCAGTCACATTTGTCGAGTTTTACTTGTCAGTGGCAAAACTATTCTGTATTAACTTTTTGGTGAGTTTAAAACAATTCTGAACTGGTTGATGCTTCAAACTCTGACTAGCCTTTATTCGTCCTCCATTTCACTTACCTATAACAGCCTGAGGTAGAGGACTCCCATCAGATGATATGGCCATAATTGGCACGGTACTTAAGGATCTGTAGCATGCCCTGTATGGGAAGGACGACCTCTACGAGATGGGATGATCGGGAGGTGGTCGCTTGATTGATTACCTTGTCTGAAAGGACCCCCCCACTCTCCCAGTGGCTAGCTTCATGTCCTCTGGACAGCTGCGTCTGCAGCACTCAGCATTTGTGTGTCCACTGGGTTTATGTTGGTGTTTTATGTAGTTCCAGAACAGATATTGGGACTTTAAATGACTCTTTGTGTAACTGACCTCACATTCTCATTTTTTTGGAATTATCATATTTTGATCCAAATATAATAATTTCCTTTGAACTTGTTTCACCATGTAAGGCAATGGAGGAAAGTTTTCCATTTATAATGACGACCTGTCTTGCCCAATGGTCTTTGACAGCAGCCATTCAGAGATGAGAATTAAACCACCATCTTTTTGGTCACTGGAGAAACCGTTGTACCAAGTGAGCCACAGTTGTATTGTCCTTATTATACATAACATGAATAAACTTCGACTTTATGTCACTAGCCAATATGCCTTCCTAAGCATTTTCTAAATGAACTGGCTTCATATTTGAACTTACTTTGTGATTTAAAAGTGGCATGGTTGGTCATGAACTCAGGGTTGCTGCAAAGAAAAACAAATGTTTTTCACAGCTAAGTTCAAGTGGATTTTGGTTTGGGGTTAGAAGTGAAAGTAATTCATTCAAAGTAAGTGCTTTTTGATATTCCTCATCTTGATGCTTCTTGATTGCTCCTAGAAGGATAAAGTGATGGGAGATTGAAATGGCCGGAGGTGATAAAAAGGTGCTGTGGTTGTGAGGACCTGAGGTTCAACCTGCTCTAATGGAGGGCAGGTGGTGACGATCGCAGAAGGGATAAATTAATGTCCAAATTTTATGGCGGGTCAGCATGGACCATGCTGGTTTACATTGCAATGACAAGTTTTGGTCAAGGAAAATTTCAAAAGTGGAACAGAGAGACAGGAAACTCATCATTGTAAATGAATAGTTCTGAGCTCACCTGAAAAAAAAAACAACACATAATTACTGGCCGTGTCTTTTGAAATTATCAGTTTAACCATGAGGCTGATTTTATTTGTTCTCATTTCACAAAGTCCAACACGTCTATAGGTTAGATGGATCACTCCCTGAAACACACTGGATTCATGTCTTAACGTAATGCCTTTCAGTTGAAAAGAAATGGTATGAAATCCTGTTCTAATTATCTATCTATCTATCTATCTATCTATCTATATATATATACATTGGATTATGAGGCGCACTTTCAATGAATGGCTATTTTGTAATTTTTTTTCATACATTGAACGCGTCGCATTATAAGGCACAATCTACAATTCCTCCACTAGATGGTGCTACGCTCCTTCCATTCAACACAAGAGGCGTCTGTTCAACTCGAGAGGCGTTCACGACCGCCTCTGAAAAACATAAATTAACAATTACTGTACTTAAATGAAACTACGAAAATTGAAAATAATGCGTCAAAACAGAAAATCAACCGAGGAAATCACAAAATAAATTCTATATCACCCTCCTACATAATTTATTTTGTGATTTCCTCGCTTGATTTTCTTCGTAGTTTCATTGAAGTAATCATTAATTTACATTTTTCGGAGGTGGCCATGAAAGCCTCTCGAGTGGAACGGAAGAAGAGAAGGCATGGAGACGGACAAAGACGTACAGTACCTGTATTTGTTGAGACTGTGAAAACCATTAATAAAGTCTGCATTTTAAAAAAATAAAATAAAACCACAGCTGTCCTTTTTTCAACAAATACAGGTGCATCTTTGTCTTTCTCCGTGCCTTCTCTTCTTCAGTTCAACTCGAGAGGCGTTCATGACTGCCTCCGAAAAACGCATTGGCAGTTCCTTGATCATAGCTCCCACCGAACGGTCAGATGTCAGTAGTAGTTATTTATTCCTTTGTTGTATATTCACAAATGATGAAATCACAAAATAAATTCTGTAGTGGGGCTGTAGAATTTATTTTGTGATTTCTTCACTTGATTTTCTGTTTTGATGCATTATTTTCAATTTTTGTAGTTTCATTGAAGTAATCGTTTATGTTTTTCGGGGGCGGTCTTGAACGCCTCTCGAGTCGAACTGAAGAAGAGAAGGCACGAAGACGGAGAAAGACGTACCTGCATTTGTTGCGACTGTTTTAAAAAAAACAACACCGCAGCTCTCCTTTTTTTGGAGCCGCAACAAAAACGTATTTAATGAAGCAGCAACACAGTTCACTGAACCAACAGCAAGTTATAACATTGTAAGAATGTCTCCAGCAAGGAGCCATCTTGGGGGTCAGCATATTACCGTAATGACCATACACAAGGCGCACCGGATTTTAAGAAAATGGAAGACTTTTTGGTGCGCCCTATAGTGCAAAAAATACAGTGTGTGTGTGTGTGTGTGTGTGTGTGTGTGTGTGTGTGTGTGTGTGTGTGTGTGTGTGTGTG